GGGGCAGGCCAGGGCTTGGGGGCGGGCCTGATGCGGGACAGCAGTGATATCCACAGACCTTACATGGCTTTGTCTTCCAGGCTCCAAATCGGACTCAGGGTCGGAACTGGGGAGAGCTAGTGTAGGGGAAAGGGGAGGGATTTCAAAATAACGTAGCTGACCAGCCTGGGTACAAAAATATACCACCATGAAAGAGCAGGGTCTGTGGCCCCTCCTCAGCCCCGCTTGTTCCCCCAGCCCCCACCTTCCCAGGGCCAGATGTTCCCTTTCCTGTAACTTGAAACTATTGTTCTTCTTCCAAGGAACCCCCCACCCCCAGCCCTTTAGCTTCCCAAGCAGTATTCTTTGGCCAGCACTGTCCCCCTTGTTCTCTCTCCTCCATTGCTAGTTTCCTTGGCCAGAATCCTTAATATTCTCGGGGGAATTCTAGATACTTCAAAAGTCACATAGAAAAAATTCAAGTAGAAATCTTGTAATAGTTTTTATTATAAATTGCACATGCCATCTATTTTACAAAATTCTATCTATTCAATTTCAATGCACCAGATGAAGAAATATCTGGTATAACGGTCACCAAATGTGAGCACTAGCTATTTCTGAATGGTAGGATTTGTGGTGTTTTCACTTGGATATTTTAATAATAATATCATTTTATAAATTCATCATTTAAAAAAAATACACTGGAAATATGAATTAACCAAAAGGATATATGAAGGTTTAGTGTGGGAAGAGGCTGTTTCCTGAGAAACATTAATAGGGGGGAGTCAGGGAAGCAGGAATTGGGAATAGAGAGGATGGTACGCCCCCCCCCTCCCCCCGTGTCCTACCACACCCTTGGGTTTACAAGTCTTGGTAAGAGAAAGGGGGCAGGTCTGGGACACAGGCTGCCAGGTGGGGGATGCAGGCCACAGGGTTGACATTGCAGAGCCCAGCATCCTGGCCCTTCTCAAAGTAGACGCTGCCAGGGGAGAAGATGGAGGGGTCCTCATCAAAGAAGTTATAGGGTCGGAGCAAGAAGCCAACTCTGTTCCCCACAGTAACTGTGTTGGGGACATCCTCAGCATGGGGGATGTGCAGGAAGCTGGCTGTAACCCAGGCCACCAGGTCCTGCAGGAAGAGGGAGGAGCTGGAGGACTTTGAAGGTGAGACCCAGAGAACCACCCTTCAGCCACAATTCCCAACCTTCAGCCTCAGCCCTGCTTCCACCTCCTCCCAGCCCCAGGCCCACAAAATGTGGTGATCCATGTGCAAAATTATAGGGTGGTCAGTGTCCCAAGGCTAATGTCACCCCAGGAGGGATGAATGACCCATGTTGGTCATCAGAGAACTCCCTGGCTCCTGAATCTGAGAACTGGAAACATGCCATTCCCTCCAACGTAGGGCCAGGGGGTTAGGCAGCCAACACACCAGACACAGAAGAGCCTCTCTCCTCTGTCTCTAGAGCTACCAACCTCTCCTAAGAGAGTCTCATTATTGATGAAGTCAGCAAAGACAACAGTGGGTGTCCAGATGTCACTCTGGTAATAGATGCTGCTGCTCTGTGACTCCTCCTCTTTCCTCCGGGTCACCACAAGCTGGTATCTGGCCAGGAATATCATAAGAAGGTGGAGTCAGAAAATGTCAAAAACCTTTACTGTCCCAGAAGCCTTTTGGATCAGATTCTGTGTGAGACCATGTCCCATCCCGTATCTACTTGGATCTGAGAGGAGGTACAGGGGCAGATGGTAAGTCAAGGATAGTGAGTTGGGGTCTCCGAGAGCTAGGATGGGGAAGGGGACCAGTCCTTCCCTACCACCCAGCCCCCAGGGCCCTCCTCACCTCCCCCAGCTGAGGGCCTTCTCCATGTCGCTCTCCAGGGGCATGTGTATGCCGAGGGGGCTCTGGATCTGGATTCGATACCCGCGTTGGTGACCCCAGGCATTAGTCTGGTTGCCAGCTAGGTAAAGGTAGCGAGGAAGGGGACTTCCCAAGGAAAAAGCTGTCAGGTCCTCCCTTCCCAGGACCTGCCGAGTCAGCTGTGGTCGCTGAAGTTGGTGCTCTGGACTCCAAGGGGCTGCCACAGGTTTAAACACCACGTCTTCAGCTACCACCCAGTTTTTCAGCCCTGCCAGGGTGAGGGGAGGGAGAGGAGTCCCATACCAGCTGAGACAGGATCCTCATCTCCCCCATGAGGTCCACTGCACTGGCCTGACAACAGGCAGCAGAACTCATCAGAGAGCACTCCATGCTGGGAGCCAGGAGGTCTAGATTTGGGAACTAGCCCATCTTCTTCAACCCTGCCCTGTCCAATACAGTTACTGTCAGTCACAAGTAGCTGTTTGCATTTAAATTAAAAATTCAGCTCCTCAGTCACACTAGCCACATTTCAAGTGCTCAATAGCCACATGTGGCTAGTGGCTAATGTATTGGACAATGTAGATATAGAACATTTCCATTACTGCAGAAAGTTCCAGTAGCACTGGTCTACCCTTGGACAGATTGCTTCTTTGACTCTCATTTTCTGAGTCTCTACACGGGACAGAATAAAAGCTGGTCTATGGCTGAGTTCTGTAAATGGAAAAACACATGCAGGTGGCTAGTTACATTCTTGTAACTATGAAAGGGACATTTGTCTTGGAGAAGCTGGCTGGAAAAACCCAGTCCCTTTCCATGGTGCCCTGCATACCCCTTAGCTCTGAGAATTTGCTTTCTTTCTCTCAACAAGATGGGGACCACTTTCAGTCTTTTTCAAAAGTGAGTAGATTTATATCTTTAAATTGTCTGAGAACTCCTTGGAAATCTATTGCACTGTAACCTGCACTCATCACCCACCCACTTGGCACTTGATCACGTACTTAGCAGGTTCAGACTGTCAGTTTCTTAATTTTTTTTTTTAACCCTCACCCAAGGACATTTTTTCCATTGATTTTTAGAGAGAGTGGAAGGAGGGAAGGAGGGAAGGGGGAGAGAGAAAGAGAGAAACATCAATGTGAGAGACACATCAATTGGCCCCTGCATGCACCCCGACTGGGGATCAAACCTGCAACCCAGGTACGTACCCTTGACCAGAAATCAAATCCACAACTCTTCAGTGTGTGGGCTGACACTCTAACCACCTAGCCACTGGCCAGGGCTGTCAGTTCCTTTAAATGTGACCTATATATATGAAGGCAGCTGGCACGGGGAGGGGGACCTCTACTAAAGCCAGTGCCTCTGCTGGTGGTCTTGTGCACAGGGGGCTGACACAGGCTCTGGCCCACAGCACCAGCCTGTGCTGTACCCACTAGGGACCCAATAAATGTGACTTGATTTTAATTCCTAAGGCAAGGCTCTTTAATAACAAAAATGCTGAAACTTCAAATCAGAAAATAATCATATTCCAAATATGTCAAAGAATCATTAATATCCCATTTCCATCATGCTATTTTCTTAGTTCTTCCTCCGCTCCACCCCCACCACCA